GACTTTTTGTTGTAGGGGAAGCAAAAAAGTGGGAATGGCTTTCATGCATGAAATTTTTTTCACACTAGGGGGTATTTTCGCCCATGTAGGTTTCGTTGTAGAGGAGTTTCACTGCATAGAGAGCTAGTTTTATTATTCAAATACCAATTGGACATACGGGTGATTTGACTTCCGAGCATGGTCAAGAAAAAAAATTAAAGCACCAACAGGGGCGACGCATGACGAGCTGTCAGCAACTTCTCACCACATTATCCCACCGCGCCCTCTCTCTCTCTCTCTCTCTCTCTACAATTATTTTTCTTCAAGCGATGGCTGCTGTCGGTGCCTATTCCCGGGGCCAAATTTTGGGCCCAGCAACGTCCCTGGACACCACTGTACAGATTTTTTTCATTTGGTGTTGTGCTGTGAAAGTTCTCAAGTAAAATGTATGCCTTGGCTCAAAAGAGGTTGTGAAACACTGTTTTAATTGACAGTTCAACTGCTTATTGAACTGTCTAAGAAAACAAAAAAAAAACAAAAGTTAGACATAAAGTCTGACAAGCTTTTGACAATAGCTGGCGCACAAACGAGCCAGTCGCCAACCAGATGATTTGCTAGTTTGTCATGTGCGTGCGTCACCAGGGTGGAAGCGAGCGGACGTTTGACGCAGGACAGACGCCAACTGTTTGCTTCTGCTCAAGATCATCCCGTCAAACCCTTGAAATGGAGACCGAGGTGATTGAGGCGGGGTAACCACTGAAGGGCGCGTCATTCATTGCCCCTAAGCCTCCAGTGCAGGCTGATCGAAGCCCTCACCTCCATGATTACAAAGGGGCCTCATGACATCAAATGTTGGCATGGCCGGCATTCCTGGATAACAAGCTCTTTTCAAGTGCGTGAGGAGCACTGTCAGAGCTGCTGCCTGTCAGGCGTCATCATCTCTGTTTGCCGACCTCTGTTATATTGCCCAACAAAACCAATTATGCGAAATGGAAAGGGCACAAACAAAGTAAACTGCCACTCTGGGGAGCAAAGACCTCCACCGGGAACAAATTATCCTGAAAGTCGAAGTCATTCCATGACCAAGGTCAGAACTCAATTTGCTCTCATATTAAAAAAAAAGAAATGTTCTCCATTCAAATTGTATTGCATAAAAAAGCAGTAAACCGTTCCAGCAACTCTGCAAAACAAAACCTACAATTTTTTTGTTACATGATTTTGAAAAACGAAAAATAGCATTGTTGTTAAAAAACAAACAAACAATCAAACACAATAAAAAATAAGGAAAATTTCTGCAAAAATATTGAATGGCCAGTCCGTAACCTGCATTTGAGAAGGCCTGCGTGTGTGTATATATATATATATATATATATATATAGTAATGTGAATCCCAATCTTTATTGAAAACAAAACAAAACATGTTTTTCTGTGTTTTTTGCACACATGCAGTGAGTGTCGAATTTGGCCGGGCGGTGTGGCTCCGCTTCTATCCGCCGGCCTTTCCTCCTTGCCCCAACCCCAGCTTTGTAGCTCACCTGGGCGGGGTGATGGTGGGTCTCACGCTGGGGGTGGTGGTCCTGCAGAACTATGAACAGCGGCTCCAGGAGCAGTCCCTCTTTTGGATCTTCTTCTGCGTCTATACCTTGTTTGTGCTCTGTGCCATATTCTGGAACATTTTTGCCTACAGCTTACTTGATGTGCGGTTGCCCCCACCACCGTGACACCAGGACCCCCTTCGTCCTGTTCCTCAAGTGGACTCTGTTTTCACCCACTTGCTGCATTTCTAGAGGAAGCCTTGCAATCCCTTCCCATGTAAAATCATGTGACCAGACTTAATCCTCTTCATCCCGAATAGAGCAGTATAAAAAATGTGAAGCCTCAAGGACATGTCTGCCCTGACTAGTGTGGTTTTGTAACAGTTGTATAATGACCATGTTCAGCGCAACTACATCGACCTTCGTCAAGGCCAAACTACTGACGAATGTGAAAGAAGTCAGTCTTGCAATTTTTCAACTTTTGTGTACTCTGCTTCTCCACACTGGAACGCCGGGGCTTGGAAGCGAACCCATGACCGATCGTGATACTTTTTTTTAAATTATTTTTGACTCAACAGTTGGGATTTTTAATGCATTTTTTTTTTTTAACTCCATGTACATGTGGACATAGTCTTTTGCTACACTCAATCCGATGGTGCCTACTCATGCAGCTTGGTAAATGTTATGGAACTGTTTTGTCTATAATAATAATAATAATAATAATAATAATAATAATAATAATAATAATAATAATACAAAGTCTGAGAGTTTTTCATTGCACATAAGTGAGATGCATTAGGCTGCCATGAGCTGCAACGATATGGTTAATTTCAAGTTCCTAGAGAAATGAAACGAGGGTAGTAGTTCCATGTTATCTGAACCTCATGCATGTGTCTGACTTTTTCTGTAACCACTGCACCAAAATGTGTGTCCACAGCACAAGCACAAGTGCCATTCATAATGCTAAACTGTCGGATGTGATGCCAAACTGTTGTGTTTAGAGATTGTGAATGTCTGCAATGATGTTTTTTGTTGATAATGGTCAACTACTATATCTGTATTATTCCAAAAAAATGGACAGAAGTGCACACGGGCATGGCTTTGATTGTCTGAACTGGTGTCAGTTCACACTCAAGTTTGTCATTATCCAAAAACGGGAAAGAAATCGATGCTCTGTCTGCCTCTGTCAAAGCATAATACCGTTTTTTATTGATTTGAGCTGTCGATAGTACTGTACTTTTAACCTTATATTTCTTTGGTAACTACTTCGCACAAACCTTGATTATCGTGTGTTTAAACACAGATTAACATGTTTCCTTTTTTTCTCTAAGATATTGGTATATAGTGTACATCGTCTGATCTATCTCCATTGTACTGTATATAGTATCTTGTATGCATTCTATTTAAAAGTGAGTTAAAACCCGTCTAGGTATGTATTATAAGGGTGGTGACACAACACTGATGGGTACTAATATTTTAACATTGTGGATATTTTGTAGATTTGATATGTACATACTGGAGTACATTAAACAGTTTTATACCGAAGCCAAACACTTGTCAATTTGTCAATATCCATTCATCCATTAGCGAAAGTGCATGTGGTTATTAGGTCAAAATCCGAACCTCAGAACTTTGAGGCGCTTACCAATAGTCCACCGTGCTGCCAATCATTCATTTTTTTAATAGCTAAAAACGAGGGATTACTATAGTCAAATTGCCATTGAACTGGTATTATCGCACGTCGAATAAAATAACCAATAATGACAGTGCCCTGCACAACTAAATTAGAATTATGTGACACAAAAAAGAAAAGGTAAACAAGCATAGCGTGCAAATTAATACAATATGGAAACTGCAGGGAAAAAAATAAAATGAATGAAACTGAGCACAGCATAGTGCACATGGAATAAACAGTGTTAACCGTATCAGTGTTTAAAATTGTTGACATGCAGTATAAATAAAATGTAGGACTGTACTGTATTTCCAACACCTTTCGCGCGATATTTGTCGCCATCAAGCGGAGTCTTGACGAACTGCGTGTAATCTCGCGAGTGGGGTCTGTCCTGGTTTTTCGCTCCACCCGATTTAGCGTCGTTACAGACGGAAAAGTAACGTACGATATTGTCAGAATACACTAATAATAATCTTTTGTTATCTTTTGTGCCATTTAAAATAAAAACTAAAATTATAGTACAGTAGTCAATAATCGTAAATTAATGGCGTCTGTCCTTTAATGTGACGTCACAACATGGAACGAAACCGATCGCTTCTACTTCCTGCGTTAGGCGCCATTTTCGGCGTTGAGGTTGAATAACAGCATGCTGTCGTCAACCAGATAATAAGAATTTAAGAGATTACAATTTGCTTTTCAGTACTCGTTGCAAGCATGGGGAGAAAGAAGAAGAAGCAAATGAAGCCTTGGTGCTGGTATCCGTTTGAATGGAAAAGCGAACGGCGAGGAAAAAAGGCGCAACATTTCGGAACTAGCCTGACAAAAGACAGGCCTAAGCTAACTCGGACGGTTTATCGATGTGTAAGGTACCAAATGCGGATTTAAAGTCTTTGTGTCCTGCCCAGGTGCGATATTTAGTAATGTTAATGTCAGTCATAAGTAGTTATATTGGTATAATTCAGCCTGATTTTCCTTTATCCATAAGTCAAACAGATGTCAGTGAATAAGTGAGCCTAGCCTGGCCGACTGTAATCAACACTTCGTCGATTGCTAGCGCTTTGACGGCGGGTCAGTGTTACGCTTCGAGGCAATTCTTACAAGATATGCTGCCTTAAAAATCGTGATGTTGAAACAAACATAACTGTTAAAAACGATGACGTGAGTATCTTTCTCGTTGAACAATGTGCTTTCGTTTGCTTTTACGTAAGTCGAGAACATTCCTTAAGTTTCTCCTCTAAGGTATTGCAATCGAGATTTTGACGATGAAAAAATCCTCATTCAACACCAAAAGGCAAAGCATTTCAAATGTCACATTTGCCACAAGAAGTTGTACACTGGTCCAGGCCTGGCCATTCACTGCATGCAGGTGGGTTGACCGTCAATCGCTTCCGATTGTACTTGTCTTCTAGTACAGAGAAGCTCACTTGGCATACATTACAGGTACACAAAGAGACTATTGACAGTGTGCCAAATGCGATTCCCGGACGAACGGATATTGAGCTGGAAATCTATGGCATGGAGGGGATCCCTGACAAAGACATGCAAGAGAGGAGACGGACATTAGAACAGAAATCTCAAGGTTTGTGCTCCCTTGAGCAATAAAATGCTTGATAAATTAAAGCTTGAACTACACAGTTTTAGACAGCTGATTATCAAACTAATTGATACATATATATTGAAAATTGGTTCATCGTTTAGAGATCCAGTTTCATTTAAAATGCTCCAAATTCTCTGAATTTCGGTCTCTTCGCAGTTAAAATTGAAGGATTTTTTTTTTGTAGTACTCCAAGAAAGCTTTCATGAATCGTTGTTTTGAATCAAAATAATACACGCGCAACCATCTGATTTTAATTTGGAAAACAATTATAAACATATTTGGCCATTTCCTGACATGTTATGAACTAAACAAGTAAATTGTGTATTTTTTTCACATTTGAAATAACTTCATTTTAGAATAAAAGGATAAGATAAAATGGCTTTTTCCCCCTCTCATTTATTGATCAAGCAACAAAATAATCAAAAGATTAATCAATTATTGAAATAATCGTTAGATAGAGACCTACATTTTATACATTAATAATTCCTTCCTTCAGATGGCAAAAAGAAAAACCCAGATGACTCGGATGAAGATGACGACGACGATGAACCTGGTCCATCGGTACCGCAGGTGGCCGGAGTGCCACCTCAGTCAGGCTATGCTGCACCCATGGCTCAGCCAGGAATTCCACCTGTTGCTGGGGGACCCGGGATGCCTCCCGGTGGATATCAAGGTTGGAGAGATCAAATTGAGCAGCCTGTGGCTTGCAGCTATCATTCCAATCACCTGGGTAAATGCTCTTTCCCCATCACCGTTACAGGAATGCCTCCAATGATGCCAGGTGTTCCACCCATGATGCATGGAATGCCTCCCATGCACGGCATGCCTCCAGGGTACCATCTCAGTCTTGGATTTTGTTAGATCGTACCTTCTATCATCAGATGTTTTGCAGTGCTTGAAAGTCCCTGAGAAAAGCCAGTTACTCAACTCGATGTCTTTTGCAGGATGATGCCAATGGGTGGGATGATGCCTCCCATGATGCCAGGCATGCCTGGTATGCCACCAGGTTAGTTGACTTGTAGGGAAGCAAGTTTTAACATGCTGTATTTCCTCAAATCGGGGCCTTTGCTCTTCCCCGTACACAAAACTAGCTTTGCAGGTGCCGCATGGCTGATTAGCGTTGTGGCAAAAGAACAGCCACTCCTCTAAAAGTAATTGATTATTGCCCTCATGGTAGCAAATAAGTGACACTTTTGACAAATATCGTTACCACGAGAGGAGTAGTAGTATTTTAACAGCAGAAGGCATGCTAAGGCTAAACTCCTCTCAGTCGTGAAGAGATGCCCGGAGTAAATGACTGATGCTTCGCTTCAGTTTTCCTGAAACAACGTGTGTTACAGCTAAGCGTAACCAACTCTCAACAGCAAATCAACAAGTGCATTGGGAGAAAATACATTACACTGCCACACACAGTATGCTCAGTTTTGTCATGTATTCAGCTCAGTATAGGTTGGGCATGATTTCCATATCATTGTATTCTGTTTTTATTAATCTTTAACACAACATCTCACCTTCATCTGAATTGGGTGTGTACATGTTGAGAAAATAAATGGTGTGTTCTACTTTTTTGATTTATAAGCATGTTCCTTTCCTGGGTCTCGCAGGGATGCCTCCACACATGGCTCCGAGGCCAGGGATGCCCCACATGACTCCCGCCCCCGCAGCAGGAGTCATACCCAGTCGACCAACGGTACCAGCGGCCCAGCCTGCTGTCACCAAGCCTCTTTTCCCCAGTGCAGCACAGGTTGGAACCCGACAATACATCCGCTTGCCTCTCACCGCCCGCACAATATATTTTCATCACCACTTCCATGAAAGTGTTTTATATGATTACCATGTGGAGGTTTTTTGAGTCAGGACCAGTTGACGTTTTCCAGCTTTCACTTATCCACATCTGGTCAACTCGTTTGCCCCCATCCCCTGCTTTTTTCAATGTTCAAATCTCTTGTGACGTGCCAATGGTGTCATCTCCTTTTCACCATGCTGCAGATGGGCACAGCAGCTGTTTCCTCTCCACCTGCAGACCATCAGTCTGCCTCCTCTCAGCCGCCCTTTCCTAACACCCCACAAGTACGCTCACAGATAGACTGTGGCTGCCATCTAGATGCATGTTGCTTCTCACACATACACACGCACACTCTAACTCTGCCTGAAGTGTCGTAAGCGATCGCTGATGGTGTTTGTACTTCTTCCGCAAAGGTAGTCCAGCGGCTACATTTGGTCACAGAATTAGCCAAGACAACCACCTGGCTGTTATCTTTGTTTCGATGCATGAGCTTTTTTTTAAACTAACAATTAGGGCTGGGCAATTAATCGAAATTTAATTGTGATTTCGATTTTGGCTTCTCACAATCGTAAAAAAAATTATAATAGAAGAAAAACGATTAAAGTGATCGTCAAGTCCAACATTTTCTTTCCAGTAATGTTCTGTGTGGCACTACTAGTGTAAACACGGCATTCTGATTAATATTGTGGAATATGAATTCATGGGAAGTCAGCTCCAAGCTTTTCTTAACCATAATCTGGTCTATGCAGCTCCACTAGCCCGAACACGACGTTCTGATTCATTTTGCAGAGTACGAATTAAGCAGCAAAATCCTTGCGTTTTTTTGTCCATCTCATGGGACGGCCATTTTGCCAATTGCTGTCGATTGAAAATGACATCATCGTTGCTCAGGGCTCAGGTACTGACCAATCATGGCTCAGCTTCAGAAAACATGTGAGCCACAACCAATGGATTTTGCCGCTTAACTCATATTCCATAACCGCAATATTAATCAGAATGCAGCTTCTAGACTGTGGAGGCACATAAGGACAACCTACTGTCAAAAAAATATTTGGGTTGACTTCCAACAGTATCTACCCGTTTTTATCCATCTCGGGGGCAGCCATTTTGGTTCTTGCTGCCGATGGAAAATGACATCACAGTTGTTCAGAACTCAAGGAACACCCAATCAAGGCACATTTTGCGAACAGTATGTGACCAAATTTAGAAAACAGGTGAGCCGTGATTGGTCGTTACCTGAGCTCTGAATAACTGTGATGTCATTTTCAGTCGAGTGCCAGTGGCAAAATGGCTGCCCCCCTAAGGTGGACAAAAATGATTGGAATTTGATGCTGAATTCATATTCCGCCAATGCAGTATTCGTTAGAATGCCATGTTTAGACTGGTGGTGCTTCATTGAACATATTCTTGTCAAGTAAATTTTGGGGTTGACTTCACCTTTAAAGTGCTGAACCGCACATTGTGTGTTTTTAAGTTCCTACATTGTGAAAGCACCCTGAATGCACCATGATTTTTGTGCTGTAAGTGTGTGACAAACGTGTGTGTTCTGGCTGAGCCAACATTAAGGGTTTTAATGACCCCCTGCTTGGAGTTTACTATAAAACTAAACGCACAACAAAAACAATTATACACATTGTATTTTTCAAGACAAGATACATTGTGAAACATTGCCACTGCTAGCAGTCAGTGTGAAATTTCATTGACAAACTAATTAAAAGTTTGCAAAGGTTTCTGTGATATTCCTTCAAATAATTAATATTCACATACAACCACTGGTCGTGACACATACAGACAGGAAATATAGCAATACTCAACAGCATAATTCTTCCAAATCTGTAAAAATGACTTATGTTAATAAAATTCAATCGCAACTTTCTTCTTTTACTCTTTTTGTCTTAATGTAAGCGTGTGTCTTCATGCATGATGGCACCACACTGCCCCTAAAAGGCCGAGGCACGCACAGCAGGTACAGCCGGTATTTATCTTTTGCTATTATTTAATACTTTGATATTTTGCTTTGTTTTGTGGCTGTTGTTTCATTTAGAGTTGAATTTTATTAGTTGAATAAATATATATATTTTTTAACTCGATGAAGAATCTTGATCATTGTAATTTCGATATCAGACAAAATCTGGATTTCCCCCTCCCACACATAATCGCCCAGCCCTACTAACAATGATACACAGCGACAAAGTGTCAGTCTGCATCATTTTGCCCTCTGTAGACATGCATGAGTTGTCTGGGTTCGAATACGCAATGTGTATAGTGCAGTCAGTCATTGTATTAAAATTAAAACCCAAAATTCAGTACAAGGTAGGGTTATGCATTATAATTACGGTGGACCCCTGTTTCTTGTGGGGGAAACATTCCAGACCCACCCACAATATGTTAACATCTTTTGATAGTCGTGCAAAACCTCCCATGTTCAGGATTTTCAGATTGGCGAATTCACTTTGGATGATGAGAAAGGAGAAGGATGTTCTTATTCAGACCAGCGGCAAGGTAATCAGGTTCTGAGGTGCCGCACACGTGATCTGCATTAGATCAGATTTCAGTTTTTGCACTCCTGCCATCTTCTTTTTAGCTTTTCCCTACCACATGCTTGAAACACAGTCTAAAGTTGTTAAAAGATACAAACTCAGTCTTTCCTCACTTTATCGCCGACAATAAATTCGAGACGATTGTGTAACTTAATTTTGAGGAAATTTACTTTCAGTTCTCCAAATAAGAGACAAAGCCTCCTAGCTTCCAAGGTGTCTGCCACTCCCTGTTGTCATTTTCTCTTAAACTGACACCGTTTGAAAGAGAATTTCAACCATGTTCTAGTTCACCACCGAAATGTTCAACCAAACCATAAAAGTCTGCTAGTTTAATGCTGCCTTAATGTGAAGTGAAATTGACAGACCAACATAAATTAGCAGATGTTAGCCTTTGTAAATGTCAAAAGAACGGCTACGTCAACAGCCACGGTGCAGCAACACAAACCAACAGCATAAAACAATCTTCACGAGCGTAGCTGTGGACCTTCTATTATGCCTTTCTTGCACCTTTTCACACTGCAGCTACATCCTTTAGCAGCGGTCTACAATGCTTCCCGGTATGTTGCAACACAACAGGACGACACTACACTGAATTTGAGCAGCGAGCGCTAAATTTGAATTTGCCAGGTATGCCGCAGTAACCCATGAGAAACAATCACTGCGATAAGCAGAAGCACAGGCACGAACCGCGAGGCAGCGGGCCTTCACTTGATTGCATTTCCATTCCGAAAGTCGGGATGGATTAGTTAAAGTGCAGTTCAGTGTGTAGCGGGTCGCTGTCGTATGTTCCACTGTTCATCTATCTCTTGTCCACGCAGGCCCAGCAAAGCGCTTCAGGAGCCGCCGCAGCAAATCCCCACAGCGCCACCGCGGCCTCCTCCGACCCACCCAAAGCAACATTCCCTGCATATACCCAACCCTCTGTCTCTTCCTCCGCTTCCACTTCCTCCTCTAACCCCTCTAGCAGCACTGTGGCCAAAGCCCCGGCCACAGTGCCCACTAAACCTGCCACCCTCTCCGCCACGAGTGCAACTAGTAAGTTGATCCACCCTGATGAGGATATCTCGCTGGTAAGTTGCTTGAACTCTCTTTTTTGCCCTTTCCACAGTAAGTAATGACTGATGCATATAATGACATTTTCAATCAGTGGAGGGAAGGAAGGCTTGCGAAGTATTGTTCATTTTAATGCATGCTAATCACAGCGTTAATTCACACACTCTTATCTAGACAAAATTCTAAATTCGTAGATTGTTTCTCTTGTGGCCATGTTGGAAGAGCAACCCAAGCTTGCATAGCCTCAGTTGTGTGCATTTATGGACATTCGTCATTGTGCTGTAAAGGGCCACAGCAGTATTGCTTGAAATCTAAATCGCTGCTCTGTTTCTTGTCACTGACCACAGGAGGAACTGAGGGCCCAGTTGCCCCGTTACCAGCGTCTCTTAGCCAGGACGGCTCAGGCCCATGCGGCTGCTCCCCCAGTGGCAGCTGTCGGCGGCATGATGGCCCCGCAGCAAGGCCTGCCACCGCAGCAGCCTGGCATGAGGCATCCCATGCATGGTTAGGAGACAACTGCTTTTAACACACACTGGAGTTTCAAAGGTCCAACGCAATCTGTTGCGGGGCCCACGTCTGGATTTAGAATCCAGTTTTTCAATCCATGTCAATTACGGGCGTCAGCCGTTTACAATGGTCATGACGTTATGAACTAACTGCACGAACTGGTTTGTGGAGTGATTGCATGTATTTGGCCACGTGGCACAAGAAGCAACGCTCAGTGTTTTTTTCTCTCCCCCCTTCCACCACTACTACTTGCTGCTGCCCACCAAGCATTGACATAAGAAGTCCTATAAAATTTGTCATTGATAGAATTTTTTTTTCCTTTTTTCCATTTGTCTAAAATGATGTGGTTATTTTGGAGTGAATAATTAAATTAAAAAGTACCTTAAAAAAGATGAAAACCAAATTCTTTAAATATGTTTCATTCTCAATAAAATATTTATTCTCCCCCCCCTTCCCCAATACCCAAATGTGTCCTCTGTAGGTCAGTACGGTGCCCCCCCACAGGGCATGCCAAGCTACATGCCTGGAGGGATGCCTCCATTCGGGCAGGGTCCTCCTCTGGTGCCCTCTTACCAGGGAGGCCCTCCCATGGGCATGAGGCCTCCTGTCATGTCTCCCGCTGGGCGCTACTGAAGCGGCAAAGCATCCCCCACATTAGGTTTGAGGTTCATACCTTTCTCTCATCCTTGTACATTTTCAGACCTAAGAGCAGTAAAGCCCGCAGTGGCGAAGACTTAATTGTTGTTGGCAACACATGGACATTTCATGTAACTACACAAGTTCCAGACTGCTTCAATTTCTTTATTTGATCACTTGTGAAGATAAAAACTCTTTCCCCTCGTAGGTTTCACTCAGGTTCTTAGGGGTGAAGTGTGTTAAAGTCATTCATATTTCTGTTGAAGCTGCTGGACTTACATGAACGTACCAACCCCTTACAAAGGCAAGTTTATCCTGTAAACCATTCATTGATTTGTTTTTTTTTTTTTTGTTTTTTTTTTTTTTTCTTTCTTCATTTATTTTGTAGATCACTGGCGGCCCTCACAGCATGCTTAGGTGCTGTTGGACTTGCGTCCCCAACCTTGGTTGGTGAGGGTCTTCCGGTGATGATTCCAACTTTGTAGTGTTACCGCTCTGGCTCATGAGTCTAGGTTTCTTCTTATTTCAGGTTTGTTTTAATATTTCCTGCTTAAAAAAAGGGGTCCCTGTGTGCATCCTTTGTAATGTTTTATCAAGCTGTTGTAATAAAATCCACCTTAAAACTGCAGTGCTGGTTTGTTGTGACGTGCGTGAAGGTGAGTCACAAAGGTTTGTACCAAGTTTTGTACGTTTGATACGCAACACAAAGTTGGCCATCACTCCCATTTTGGTGTCATCCGTCAGAATGACATCGTATTCCAAAAGCCTGAATATTGTCCTAAACCAAAGGCTCTTGGCCTTGAATGAAGATGGTCAACTTGTGGTCCCTAGCGATGCATGATAAAACATCTGGAGAGAGATAGCGATAGAAATGACTTGAAGGTGTTCGGTTTGTACACACACTTTGCGCTTTATGCCGAATGCCAGTCACACCCAGTAATACAGGAACTGCAGCAAATACCAGCTAGTACATCCTTGGTTGGAGGGTGCGACCGTATTTACCTGGCCTAGCCAAGAGAGCACAACAAATGGCCGTTTCCAGAAAAGATTTGCACCTAGCCTTATTTACTGCAGTGTGCGTATTTCAGGGTACTAAAATGCTTCCTTGTTCGTTTGTCCTGTTAGCCACCTGTTTTCTGTGCAGGCGTCTGATCAGGTTGGTTAAGTTCTTCAGGACTTTGTCAGTAAATAATATGGATTAAAAAGCTCCCTCCAATCACTTAACTGCTTTGTATCTTGTTTGTCTGTAGCACCTCCCACTCCACTTTTCAGCCTTGTACCCACTCAGCTGGCGCTACAGGCCTTTTAAACCCAGTAAGTACCCGCTGTTCCTTGTACTGTGGGTCTGCACTGTCCAACAACTGTATTTCATTTCATAATGCTGTATGATTCAGACTTGAATAGGCCGCACAGATGAACTGCTAATTCACATTAACTGTACAGTCACGCAATGGACTTGCATGGTAAGTAAACAAAAAAAAAAGAACGGCATTATACTAAACCATTTAGAAGTTTAAAGGATGTATTAAGAGTGCAATGCCAATTTGAAAAGTATTACACAAGATGCAATTAAAAACATGAACGCCGCTGGAGGGCGTTTCTGTGTGATGTCAGTTTGAAAGTTGAACGTGACTATATGACCTTGATGGTTTCATAAATGTCAAGCGTTTTACATGTTGAGGCATACTACAATATAATTAGAAATATGTATCGAAACCGTTGTTTTGTGACGTTCACAAATAAACTGAAAGTGATTACATTCTGCCGTGTGCTTCGTAATTCTGGCCGTTGATTCAATACATTGCCATCCAGTGGAACACGGGTGGTAGTACAACCAATTGTTTATGAATTCTGCTTACCGCATGAATACTGTACTTTTCGCCCAAACATTAGGAGTTAGTCACCCAGATTTGACCGAGAACCTGGTTTAACATTTCGGGTAATTATATAGCAATTGATAACTGTGTTCTATACAGGAGACAGTGGAATGTAAGAAGAGGTCATTTGACTGCAGAATATATTTAACCAACTGTTGATTCCATGGACTTTGAGTGCCTTTGTGTTAAAATCAATCTCCAAGAGAACATACGGCACATGGGAAGTATTTATACACCCCCGAATGCTCCTGCACAAACAACTGAATGTATCCTGTCTACAATTGCTGTAATTCCGTCAGTCTCGTTATTAAAGTTAAACCATCCCAACTGTTGGTTTCAAATTAATTCACAATCACATTTTAAACTGGGGTTTAAAATTCTTGTGCAACAGATTTAAATTTCAACTTTCTTGTAGAGTGCAAATTAAACAGGTTTAAATGTAATTATTTCAAACTAGGTTAAAAGTTTGGTGCATCAGAATTTAAACCATGATTTAATCAACCCTAATCCTATAACCCAAACCCCAAACCTAATCTGATAAACCAACCCTAACCCGAATTTTAAACCAGCCCCTAAACATTAACACCAACCCTAACCGGACCCTGAAACTCTAACCCAACATTAACAGGGTTCCCACGGGTCCTTAAAGTTCATAAAAATCCATTTTAAAAAAATTAATAAAATTATGTTCTTAATTGCCCTTAATTGTCAGGCAAAGCTTCGAAAATCAATAAAAATCCTTTAAAATTAACCTGTGGTGTGTATTTCATTTGTGTATGTCATTTTCCCCACCCTTCCAATAAATAGTTTTGTCAGAAAATGTGCCTGGCACCCTTCCCCTCAAGCCCTGCTGTCGGGCTACATACCTTCCTGGTTGCTGCTCTGCTTTTCCTGCCGCCGTCTGTGACAGGGTTCCCACTCTTAGACTTGTTTTTTATTTATGGACCTTTTAAGGGCTAATTTAGCCATTTTTTTAAGGACTTTTTCTCCATTCAGCAGGAGATTTGCGGTGAATTTAATGAACGGAAAGCCACATTTCACTGAGCTGGTGTTCAAATCATTGTTGCCAATGTCCTGTTAGCCACCTGTTTTCTGTGCAGGCGTCTGATCAGGTTGGTTAAGTTCTTCAGGACTTTGTCAGTAAATAATATGGATTAAAAAGCTCCCTCCAATCACTTAACTGCTTTGTATCTTGTTTGTCTGTAGCACCTCCCACTCCACTTTTCAGCCTTGTACCCACTCACCTGACGTTTCAGGCCTTTTAAACCCAGTAAGTACCCGCTGTTCCTCGTAGTGTGGGTCTGCACTGTCCAACAACTGTATTTCATTTCATAATGCTGTATGATTCAGACTTGAATAGGCCGCACAGATGAACTGCTAATTCACATTAACTGTACAGTCACGCAATGGACTTGCATGGTAAGTAAACAAAAAAAAAAGAACGGCATTATACTAAACCATTTAGAAGTTTAAAGGATGTATTAAGAGTGCAATGCCAATTTGAAAAGTATTACACAAGATGCAATTAAAAACATGAACGCCGCTGGAGGGCGTTTCTGTGTGATGTCAGTTTGAAAGTTGAACGTGACTATATGACCTTGATGGTTTCATAAATGTCAAGCGTTTTACATGTTGAGGCATACTACAATATAATTAGAAATATGTATCGAAACCGTTGTTTTGTGACGTTCACAAATAAACTGAAAGTGATTACATTCTGCCGTGTGCTTCGTAATTCTGGCCGTTGATTCAATACATTGCCATCCAGTGGAACACGGGTGGTAGTACAACCAATTGTTTATGAATTCTGCTTACCGCATGAATACTGTACTTTTCGCCCAAACATTAGGAGTTAGTCACCCAGATTTGACCGAGAACCTGGTTTAACATTTCGGGTAATTATATAGCAATTGATAACTGTGTTCTATACAGGAGACAGTGGAATGTAAGAAGAGGTCATTTGACTGCAGAATATATTTAACCAACTGTTGATTCCATGGACTTTGAGTGCCTTTGTGTTAAAATCAATCTCCAAGAGAACATACGGCACATGGGAAGTATTTATACACCCCCGAATGCTCCTGCACAAACAACTGAATGTATCCTGTCTACAATTGCTGTAATTCCGTCAGTCTCGTTATTAAAGTTAAACCATCCCAACTGTTGGTTTCAAATTAATTCACAATCACATTTTAAACTGGGGTTTAAAATTCTTGTGCAACAGATTTAAATTTCAACTTTCTTGTAGAGTGCAAATTAAACAGGTTTAAATGTAATTATTTCAAACTAGGTTAAAAGTTTGGTGCATCAGAATTTAAACCATGATTTAATCAACCCTAATCCTATAACCCAAACCCCAAACCTAATCTGATAAACCAACCCTAACCCGAATTTTAAACCAGCCCCTAAACATTAACACCAACCCTAACCGGACCCTGAAACTCTAACCCAACATTAACAGGGTTCCCACGGGTCCTTAAAGTTCATAAAAATCCATTTTAAAAAAATTAATAAAATTATGTTCTTAATTGCCCTTAATTGTCAGGCAAAGCTTCGAAAATCAATAAAAATCCTTTAAAATTAACCTGTGGTGTGTATTTCATTTGTGTATGTCATTTTCCCCACCCTTCCAATAAATAGTTTTGTCAGAAAATGTGCCTGGCACCCTTCCCCTCAAGCCCTGCTGTCGGGCTACATACCTTCCTGGTTGCTGCTCTGCTTTTCCTGCCGCCGTCTGTGACAGGGTTCCCACTCTTAGACTTGTTTTTTATTTATGGACCTTTTAAGGGCTAATTTAGCCATTTTTTTAAGGACTTTTTCTCCATTCAGCAGGAGATTTGCGGTGAATTTAATGAACGGAAAGCCACATTTCACTGAGCTGGTGTTCAAATCATTGTTGCCAACGGAAGGGCACATCTTTATTTTTCAGGGCAATCAGCTAACCCTTTAGTCGACATACTGTATGTCAAATTGGATCGAAATGACCCGAAGTGATCACGTGATCGTCATCGGAACTGATCGGAGACGGGAAAAGCAGAGCGGGAACCAGGAAGCACAATTAACATTTTTTTGGATGGATTTTTATGAACTTGAAGGACCCATGGGAAGACTGTTCACGACCTGCCTCGGAGTTGAATGGTAAGTGCGTCCCCGTTGCGCTGCAGAGGTGCAGGGTTCGAATCAACCTCTGGCCTTCCTATGCGTACGCAAAAAGGTGCATGGCTGTGCATTTTCTGATCTTCTCTGCACAACCATTTGTGCTCACACTCACATATATGGACAATGTGAATTGTTACCTGACTGGTAGTCGAATGGTTAGTGCGTTGGAGTTCCACTGCGGAGGGGCAGGGTTCGATTCCAGCTCCAGCCTTCCTATGAATTCTCAAGAACATGCAAGGCTGTCCATTTTCTGATCCTGTTCGCATTCAAAATTCACACCAACGGACGATATGGAGGATTCATTCCGTGCCTGGTAGTCGTTGGTCCCGCGCTGCGGAGGTGCAGGGTTTGATTCCGGCCTTCCTGTGCGATCTCAAAAATGTGACCGGCCAGCCGTTTTCGATCCTCTTCTCCACACAACTATTCGCATTCACCCTCACACCAAGGAACAATTCACAAAACGCCTTACTCTAGATGGTCGTTTTTTTTTTTGGCCCAAAACACCTTACAATTCATGGTCGATTTTTTTTCGGCCCAAAACGCCTTGCTATATTCACTAACTACACATGGTCATTTTTTTAGTCGTTTTTTTCGGCCCAAAACACCTTACGATACGTGGTCGTTTTTTTTTTCGGCTAAAAACGCCTTACTATACATGGTCGCTTTTTTCGGCTAAAAACGCCTTACTATACATGGTTGTTTTTTTCGGCCCAAAACGCCTTACTACACATGGTCATTTTTTTAGTTGTTTTTTTCGGCCCAAAACACCTTACGATACGTGGTCGTTTTTTTTTCGGCTAAAAACGCCTTCCTATACATGGTCGTTTTTTATTTGGCCCAAAACGCCTTACTATACATGGTCGGTTTTTTCGGCCCAAAACGCCTTCCTATACGTGGTCGTTTTTTTTCGGCCCAAAACGCCTAACTATACATGGTCGGTTTTTTTCGGCTAAAAACGCCTTCCTATACGTGGTCGTTTTTTTCGGCTAAAACGCCTTATTATACATGGTCGTTTTTTTCGGCGAAAAATGCCTTACTATACGTGGTCGGTTTTTATTTGGCCCAAAACGCACTGTACATGGTCGGTTTTTTCGGCTAAAAACGCCTTACTTTACATGGTCGTTTTTTTTCGGCCAAAACGCCTTTCTATACGTGGTCGTTTTTTTCGGCACAAAACGCCTTACTATACGTGGTCATTTTTTTCGGCCCAAAACGTCTTACTATACATGTTTTTTTTTTTTGTCCCAAAACGCCTTCCTGTACATGGTCATTTTTTTCCAGCTAAAAACGCCTTACTATACGTGGTCGTTTTTGTAGTCACTCCCAAAACACCTTACTCAGCACGATCGTTTTTTTCAACCCAAAACGCCTTACGTTCCCACGGGTCCTTAAAGTTCATAAAAATCCATTTTAAAAAAATTAATAAAATTATGTTCTTAATTGCCCTTAATTGTCAGGCAAAGCTTCGAAAATCAATAAAAATCCTTTAAAATTAACCTGTGGTGTGTATTTCATTTGTGTATGTCATTTTCCCCACCCTTCCAATAAATAGTTTTGTCAGAAAATGTGCCTGGCACCCTTCCCCTCAAGCCCTGCTGTCGGGCTACATACCTTCCTGGTTGCTGCTCTGCTTTTCCTGCCGCCGTCTGTGACAGGGTTCCCACTCTTAGACTTGTTTTTTATTTATGGACCTTTTAAGGGCTAATTTAGCCATTTTTTTAAGGACTTTTTCTCCATTCAGCAGGAGATTTGCGGTGAATTTAATGAACGGAAAGCCACATTTCACTGAGCTGGTGTTCAAATCATTGTTGCCAACGGAAGGGCACATCTTTATTTTTCAGGGCAATCAGCTAACCCTTTAGTCGACATACTGTATGTCAAATTGGATCGAAATGACCCGAAGTGATCACGTGATCGTCATCGGAACTGATCGGAGACGGGAAAAGCAGAGCGGGAACCAGGAAGCACAATTAACATTTTTTTGGATGGATTTTTATGAACTTGAAGGACCCATGGGAAGACTGTTCACGACCTGCCTCGGAGTTGAATGGTAAGTGCGTCCCCGTTGCGCTGCAGAGGTGCAGGGTTCGAATCAACCTCTGGCCTTCCTATGCGTACGCAAAAAGGTGCATGGCTGTGCATTTTCTGATCTTCTCTGCACAACCATTTGTGCTCACACTCACATATATGGACAATGTGAATTGTTACCTGACTGGTAGTCGAATGGTTAGTGCGTTGGAGTTCCACTGCGGAGGGGCAGGGTTCGATTCCAGCTCCAGCCTTCCTATGAATTCTCAAGAACATGCAAGGCTGTCCATTTTCTGATCCTGTTCGCATTCAAAATTCACACCAACGGACGATATGGAGGATTCATTCCGTGCCTGGTAGTTTATTCGGCCCATACACAAATGAAATGAACACCACCACAGGTTAATTATTAAGGATTTTTATTGATTTTTGGAAACTTTTCCTGAAAATTAAAGACAATTAAGAACATAATTTTACAACTTTAATGGATTTTTATGAACTCGGAGGTGCAGGGTTTGATTCCGGCCTTCCTGTGCGATCTCAAAAATGTGACCGGCCAGCCGTTTTCGATCCTCTTCTCCACACAACTATTCGCATTCACCCTCACACCAAGGAACAATTCACAAAACGCCTTACTCTAGATGGTCGTTTTTTTTTTTTGGCCCAAAACACCTTACCCGCAACAAATAATGCCTTCAGTGATCTGATTAGTTGAAGCTTTCATACACGTCCAATCGCAGGGCTGTTTACAAACGGAAAACGGAGAGACTGTTCGGGAGAGCTCGTGAAAACTCGACGATAAGGTACCTGACCGCCCCTAAAATTTTCTCAACGGATTTAGACGATTCACAAAAATGATCAATTTAAGAAATAAAACGGCGGATTTCCGCGGATCCGCGGAAAATTGCCATGTATGTATACATGGTCGTTTTATTCGGCCCATACACAAATGAAATGAACACCACCACAGGTTAATTATTAAGGATTTTTATTGATTTTTGGAAACTTTTCCTGAAAATTAAAGACAATTAAGAACATAATTTTACAACTTTAATGGATTTTTATGAACTTTAAGAACCCGTGGGAACCCTGTCTGATCAGTTCCAATGATGATCACGTGATCATATGTCAAATCAAGGGTTAGCTGATTGCCCCTAAAAATAAAGATGTGCCCCTCCTTTGGCAGTAATGATTTGAACACCAGCTCAGTGATATGTGGCTTTCTGTTCATTAAATCCACCGTGAATCCCCTGCTTAATGGAGAAAAAGTCCTTCAAAAATCACTAAATTAGCCCCCAAAAGTCTTTAAAAGGTCCAAAAATAAAAAGCCAGCGGAAGAATGGGAACCCTGTATTTCAAACTACGTTTAAAGTTTGGTGCATCAGAATTTAAACCATGATTTAATCAACCCTAATCCTATAACCCTCACCCCAAACCTAATCTGATAAACCAAACCTCACCCGAATCTTAAACCAGCCCCTAAACCCAACACAAACACCAACCCTAAATGGACCCTGTAACTCTAACC